AGATAGATATATAGATAGATAGATATTGACAGACAGATAGATAGATAGATATATAGATAGATAGATATTGACAGACAGACAGATTAGATAGATAGATATAGATAGATATTGACAGATAGATAGATAGATATTGATAGACAGATATTGACAGATATTGACAGACAGACACAGATAGATAGATAGATATTGACAGACAGATAGATAGATAGATATAGATAGATATTGACAGATAGATAGATAGATATTGATAGATAGATATTGACAGACAGATAGATATATAGATAGATAGATATTGACAGACAGACAGATTAGATAGATAGATATAGATAGATATTGACAGACAGACTGATAGATAGATATTGACAGACAGACAGATAGATAGATAGATATTGACAGACAGACAGATAGATAGATAGATAGATATTGACAGACAGATAGATAGATAGATAGATAGATAGATAGATAGATAGATAGATAGATAGATAGATACGAAAACGAGACAAAACTCAGTAATAGTTGTAGAGATATTCATATGATGCCTAGAGATTTGCATTAACACTACATAACAAATGTGTAATAGAGTCGTTCAGCTCAAGATATGTTCCTTAGTTAAGAATCCATAACTAAACTCTTACTATTAGAGCCGGCTATTATTATGGAAGATGTCAAAAAATGTAAGAAACATTACCTAAACAATCTCGCACGCTACACACGTTCCTCTTGCGCCGCTTACAACCGCATTACATCTGCGTAATTTCCGCGTTGCGTTTGTCAAATACGCACGGGCGGAAACAAGGTCATGAGAAGACATCCGCGCGCTTCTGAAGTCCGGAGCAACATGAGAACATTGTATGGAAGAAAAATAATGCCATGTGTCTTTGAAACAAAAAAAGCACATTGAATAGCACTAACTGAAAAAATAATGCATTGCATTAACAGTGCTTGCATTTTAATGCCTTGTATTTCCAGGGCTTGCATTAGGTCCTGAAATTTAACATAGTTGTCTATTTGTGAATATTTCAATTCAAAATATTTCACACACATTTTCATAATTAAAAAGTCAATAATTCATATTCACCTTCCAGAATTCACTTCCAAAATATGCAATCTGTTTAAAAATACGATGTATAATATTCGACAGGCACATTTCGGTCCATTTTATTTCACTTTCTAAATTCGCTTCCACAAATTCAGTGGTTAAAATTCGGAAAATCAACAGAAAATTCGGCATTGCACATCCGGGAGCTGCAGGAATAGTAGAGCACCGATGCATGATCTCCAGCTGCTGTCAGTCGCTCAGCTGCAGGTGGCGCAAGCGGCTGTTGATGAAGACCAAAGCAACAGGTAGATCGAGTCATTCATTCACAAAAACAGATTTGCAGAAATGGAGCCAGCACTAGACGTTTTAATTGTCGGGGCCAGTATAAACATGTGGAAAAGCTGATTGTGTGTATGTTTAATTCAACTTCAATCTTCACTGTTTCCCTATTATACTTCATGTATTTATTGTTTTGTATTCTGGTTGTGTATGTATTTTATTGCTATGACTGTATCCCCTGTGAATGTTATATCTTAAAAAAAAAAAAAAAACCTTAGCTGTTTCCCGTAGCCTACATGTAAGCAGCTTTCTCTACCACAAAGGAGATTATAATGCTATTTTACCCAACGCTGATGTACAGAACTAACATTACATCTGAGGAAGACATATGAAGAGTTCAGATGCAAAAGCCTCTAAGTGCCATCTGAAAATGTCTTCTAAAATGAGCATTTTTATCAGGCTCCTATGTTTATGTTCATTTATTTCACTTTAATGGCATAGAAAAGGACCTATACATTGCCATTAAAGTGACATTTCTGAACCTAAACACAGGAGCCCGATAAAAATGCTCATTTTAGAAGAAATTTTCAGATGGCACTTCAAGGCTTTTGCATCTGAACTCTTCATAAATTGCTTTCGGTTGCTTAGTTTCCTTAACTTGTATCATGGCTTGTGTGACCTGTGCTGTAATACTGGGGTTCCCCTCATACATCACACTCCAGGATTCCCCAAGGACACTTAACATGCATTATGCAATGCATTATTTGCATTATTTTTTCAGTTAGTGCTATTCAACGTGTGTGTTTTTTTTGTTTCAAAGACATATGGCATTATTTTTCTTCCATAACATTCTGTCAAACTCCAGTAATTAGTGTAAATTAAAGTCACCAGATCTCTGTAACAACACAAATAAAAATAAAATTGTGTCTTATATTTAAGTTGTTGTGTTTTTGTAGCTTCTTTTAGCCAGACACTTTCTCCACATCAGCGGTTTTTAAACGATCTGATTAACAATATGTTAAAACCTTCGATGGAACATTAAAAATAAATAAGCTGTTCAGTGAGAGATATAGGGAGAGATTTATTCTTATAGTGTTTTATTGTTTCGTGCTGTTAAAAACTAGCATTGTTGATGGAATATAATATTTTTTTTAAACTGGGGCTAGAATAAAATAATCACAATTTATTTCATGACTCTAAAAAGCAGATCCGGTAATAATGTAAAAGTCAGTAAATGCATTTTTGTAGGATTGCAGCAAGACTATCAAACATAGCTATAGAAGTCATTTATGTAGGTATGTCCTTTGATGATATTACGCATAACCCCTGACCTTTGTATGTTTTTGTTGTTGTTCTTCCTTTTTCCAGTGATAGATGCATGTCTATATTACCCGATTTACTAATTCCTTGTTAATAGCGACTGTGCTTCATTTAGTAAATAGTTGAAATGAAAAATAGCAAAGACATCTGTCACAAGTATGAAAAAAAACAGGCTTCAAGTATTGAATTCTGTCCAAAAATAACTAGAGAAACAAAAACACACTGAGTCTGGGAAAATATGGTTCATTGTCCTTTAATAAGGTCATCAAGTCACAAGGGAGCCATCTTGTTTTAATTCACACGAGGAACAGCAGAAAGACAGCAGGCGAGGTTGTGTGCAAAATAAATACATATGGCAGGAGGAAAGGGGCTACATTAGAGGAACAGGTAAACTTCATTAGAACAAACAAATAAAATCATAATCACTCATCATCATCATCATCATCATCATCACCAAGACAACCACCATGTTGCCGCATCATCATCCACATCGTTACCCTCAGTATCACAACCAATACACAGTCTTCTTTCTTTTAAATACAGAGTTCTATTTGAATTATTGCATTATATACGCACTTTAAAGAAAATGTCATTTTCTGTAACAGTATGTCATGTGACGTGTGAGTCTATATTGTTCGTGTCTGCATGCATTTAGGGATTGTTTCTGTTGTGTGTAGCGCTCATCATAGTGTAACTGCGAAATTGAAGCTGTTGGCCGAGAGCCGTCATAATCTACGTTGCATCTATTTCCATTGGCCCACTTCAGAAAATCGTCAACGTCGTTCAAAACAAGAAACTAAGATTTTGAAATGGCACAGATGGTCTACAGTATGCAATTCACAGGCACGATTATTGAATTATTGAATGACTTGTGTTTGTTCGATGGCTGATGTCAAATACAAAATGAACCCATATAATATTTGAAATAGCTGAGATTCTTTCTTTACATTTCTACACCTTCTCTCAACAATACAGGCCTAACTGTAATAGATGTCAGTGGCTTGATATGTACATATGGATTTGCACAAGCATTTAAGTATGAAACCAATTGCTTTTATTGGTATCAAGATATAAATGGCATTTAATTTCAATAAATGACAGAAAAATTCTGTATTTTTAACCCTGAATCATGCATCTTAACGTTATTGTAGCTGGCAGTTATGGATTTAAGTCCAGCTTGAAAAACGGAAATATTTTTGGATAATTGGTTTAATCTCAACATTGTGGCATGAATGAGGGTGTTTTTGAGCGTCAACCAGCAGGCAGAGTGACTAAGACGAAAGTTTTGGTGGAAATGTGCATTGGCTACAACTAAGTTGAATGTTATATGAAAAGTGTTTGGCCTAAATGCATCTCTAGCTTGCTTTAATAGCTGGCAGGAACGTCACCACAAGCACTGAAATTAAAGTACAGCATAAAATTAAGACGCCTAGTGTGTAGAGTGACCATACGTACTCGTTTTCCCGGACATGTCCTGGTCAGGATTTCTACATTACTTAAAATGCCCGGGTTTTGACTTTGTTTTCCTGTTGAAGCAGCCTCTATAGTCTTCATACATTGTATCTATGTGAATTTGCATTGCTTTGGCCGTTCTCTGTAGAGCCCACCTTTCAATAAATGACAGAAAAATTCTGTATTTTTAACCCTGAATCATGCATCTTAACGTTATTGTAGCTGGCAGTTATGGATTTAAGTCCAGCTTGAAAAACGGAAATATTTTTGGATAATTGGTTTAATCTCAACATTGTGGCATGAATGAGGGTGTTTTTGAGCGTCAACCAGCAGGCAGAGTGACTAAGACGAAAGTTTTGGTGGAAATGTGCATTGGCTACAACTAAGTTGAATGTTATATGAAAAGTGTTTGGCCTAAATGCATCTATAGCTTGCTTTAATAGCTGGCAGGAACGTCACCACAAGCATTGAAATTAAAGTACAGCATAAAATTAAGACGCCTAGTGTGTAGAGTGACCATACGTACTCGTTTTCCCGGACATGTCCTGGTCAGGATTTCTACATTACTTAAAATGCCCGGGTTTTGACGTTGTTTTCCTGTTGAAGCAGTCTCTATAGTCTTCATACATTGTATCTATGTGAATTTGCATTGCTTTGGCCGTTCTCTGTAGAGCCCACCTTCGCGTGTGCCACGATTGGTCGATTATGTAAAATGCCTGCATGCTACTTTTCAGTCATTATGAAAATCAAAGCCAAAACCCGGACATTTTTGGCAATTTGGAAATCCTGGCCAGCACATGTTCAGGACAAATAGGACATATGTTCACCCCGCTAGTGACTCCCCACCCCTTTATATAAACTTGAATAGTCTGTGAAGTAATCAACCCCACTGTTTAACAATTAATCTTAGGCCTTGGGTCAGTTTTTCTTGGCTAATAAGATTACGCCCACCAATACAGCTCCAAGGGCTATGACAGCTCCTCCAATCAGGAAAGGCTTCAAATTTTCTAAGGTTTCGCAGCTACTTCCTGCGGACTCCGCTGCCCCCTGTTGGTTGGTCTCTCCATCTTCCGCCGGCTTCTCGGGCTCTGCGGGTTCAGCAGAGACGGGGTCTTGTTTTGGCGATGGGGCTGCCTCCTTCTTCTCTGCTTTGGAGGCAGACTTCGACGCTCCTTTGGCTTTTGCTTCCATGTGGGAATGGGATCAAGGAATCCGGCAGGTTTTCCTGGGCTTTCCTTTAGGAATACAGATTGAGGTTTTCAATTTCTCCATGTGCACTGTTCAAAAGTTTGGGTCAGTTTTTTTTTTTTTGAAGGAAGTCTCTTTTGCCCAGCAAGGTTGCATTTATTTGATTAAAAATACAGTAAAATTGTGAAATATTATTACAGTTTAAAATAACTGTTTTCTGTTTTAATATATTTAAAAATATAATTTAATCCTGTGATGCAAAGCTGAATTGTCAGCATCATCACTCCAGTCTTTAGTGTCACATGTTCCTTCAGAAATCATTCTGATATACTGATCTGCTGCTCAAGAAACATTTCTTATTATCAATGTTGAAAACAGTTGTTCTGTTTAATATTTTGTGCACTGTGATGCATTTTATTTCCAGGATTTTTTATATTAATAAAAAGATCTAAAGAACAGCAGTTATTTGTAACATTATAAAGGTCTGTACTGTCATTTTTGGTCAATCATAATAATAAAAAAAAAACACTGACCCCATATGTAAAAATATTAAAAGAATGTTAAAAGAATTAACAAAAATGTAAAAAATTAAATAAATAGATAAAATAAAATAAATACATTAAAAATGACAAAACCTACCATTATAATACTTTCATTTTCTCATATTTATTTATTTATTTAATTAATTATAGTTTTTGCTTGACAGCAGTGGACCGAACTAGCATTATATGAAAAAGAGCTGCTGAAGCAAATTCTCCTTTTGCATTCCACAGAAAAATGCATATGGGTATGGAATGAAAAAAATATGTGAATATGTCACAAAAACAGAATTGTAACACGTGAAACATTTGAGTCTTTGACCTTGATGTAGCAATGACATTACTGTATATGCAGTGGCCTACTGACTGCTATATGCTATACGCTAACATGCTATATTTGCTTGTATTAGACAGCCAAAGTGCAGCATCCATTAGTCGTTGTTTCCTTAAAAAGCATGTGCGTCTTTTATGTGTAGAAGCTCTTTTTTAAGGGTATGTGGGACAAAAGTGACAAGTGACTCTTAACATCAGTCATGTTCCTTACAGACCTTTTGCACCCACAAAACACAATGAATGATGTTTCTGAAGCATTAAACATGAACTAGTTCATCTGCAGCATGCAGAAACATCCCTGTGAATCTGCATGAGTCATACAGGACCGGTGGAGGGGAGCACTGTACATTAAAAACAAATAAAATCACACAAAAAAAGGACTGAAGTCACGCAGAACCATGCAGAGAAAGCGTAACCTGGAGAGACGGACTGAAAATGGGTTAATCGAGCATCTGATGGATGTGATTAATGTAGTGATGCAGTTATGATGGCTGCACAGGCCACAGCAGCGCATCACATTCTCTTTCAGTTCTGATGGATGGATGGAAAGATGATGATGGATGGAACGTACCTTCTTTATGTTGCCTTGTGATCCTTGCTCACCTTGTCCTCTTTTCAAAGAAGGATGAAGAGACAGAGGATGAGAAACCAAGAGATCTGCTCTGCAGGAAGGCCTGAATCCGTCCTCAAGGAGAAACAGAATCAAAGGAAATGGAGAGATGGAGGGCACAGCAGCAAGAGGAGGAGGAGGAGGAGGAGGAGGAGAGGAACTGGGCTGTACCACTCCATCAGTGAGAACAGGGGGGCGCAGTGCAGCTGTGGTGCGTGTGCTTTCGTTCAGCTCGAACTGGTGTAATGGTTGTTGCATTGACCTTTTATGTAATTTTACCTTATTGACGTCATTTAGGTGCTAACAGTCCACAGCAAACACAGACAGTTACTATCCCGGGGCTATCTCTCTCTCTCTATCTGTCTGTCTGTCTGTCTGTCTATCTATGATGAAATACTGAGTATATAAATGATCTAACAGTATATGTCGTGTTTATCTATCTATCTATCTGGAGTAAATACTCTGCATATAAATTATCTATCTAACAGTAAATATTGTGTATATAAATTATCTATCGAGTAAATACTGTGCATATAAATTATTTATCTAATATATTATGCATATAAATGATCTATCTATCTATCTAGATTCTAGAGTAAATACTGTATATAAATTATATATATATATATATACATAGGCCTATATATTGCCTATTGTCTATCTATCTATACTATGCAATGAAGTACTTTATAAATGTATGTATTGATTAATTGACTTGTTTCTCATCCATTGGCACTCCCTGCTGCTTAAAAAGGCTTAAGAAATTCAGGAAATGACGTCGTTCCACGCCCAGCATACTAATTCGGAGGAGTCTCCTCTGTATTCACTAAGCCCGTCCCAGCAGTGTGCCAGTGGTTCCTAAGCAGCGGAAAAGCGCAGCGCCTCTTACGGCAGTCGACGGATGACGTGAGCTACGCCAGGAGCGCACGCGGGAAACGGGACGCGGGTCCAGTCTGCGCAACTGGAATGGAGAATCGCAACGACGTTGCTTCAATGGAAAAAAGATCGTAGCGAAGATATACAGCAATCAATCTGACTGGGACCTGCTGCGGAGGAGGAGGAGGAGGAGGACAGTGCGGGACCTGGACTTACCGCACGATTTTACTACGCGGAGAGGGACTGTCACGGAATAAATGTTTGATCCGTGCGTGCGTGAGTATTTCTGCGGTTTGAGGGGAATATGGAGCGGCTTCTGACGCGACGCGCGCTTGGAAAGGCGTGAAAATATCGGTGACGTTACGGAGGAATGTCACTGAAACTGAGGCGATCGGTATGAACTAAAAAAAAGCAAACGCAATTAAACACATCCTCACTCCTTCATGTGTCTGTGTGAATGCAAACGGGACGCCGCATTAACGGGACTGTTGCTGTTCTGAGACCTGTGGCTGGCTCGGAACCGTGATCTGGGTCGGTTCCGCGGTTCGGTGTGTGTGTGTGTGTGTGTGTGTTTGCGTAGGATGGGAGATTTAACGGAGTCCATGCAGAAGAAGGTCTCGGGAAGACGCGCTCATACTACAGGTGAGTCTCTGTACTGGCGACCCATGTGAACATGTACCATGATAACCGCAGTTATATATATATATATATATACTCACACATGTACAGTGGTTCTAACATGGTGTTCTTGGAAGTACATTAGGTTCTTGCATTATTATGGTGATCTTTAATAAAACTTTAACCATAGTTTCATATAGAATATGATATTCATAAATTCACAATAGAATATCATACTCAGTGCGGTTATTGCACAGAAAGTACCATAGTATTTCCAAGGTTATTTAAACTTGGTACCATATTGTTTTGTTGAATGTATTAATGTTTGCATTTTGCCAGGATCTATTGGTGAGCGTTCTACAATTTAGTCATTTTTAAGGTCATGCCTTTACAAACCTGCATGAATAACAGTGCATTTATGAAGGAATAGTTTTGCATCGCTGCAGGCATGCGAGCACACCCGGCATTTCTGGTACATGCCCAGTTAATTACATTATATTGTGTTGAGTTAGAGTATGTTACTTCATTTCATTGCCTTTTTGACAGCGGTATTGCAGATCTTCGTGTCTACTGCACACACGTAGTGTGAAAAGGAGAGTGAAGTTCTGAACCAGAGGCTTTTCATTCTTAATGGAGAGGTTGTGGTTGAATCTTCAAGGCTGGATGAAGCCCATCAGTGGTTACTGAGTGCAGCTTTTTGCATATCGACAAAGAGCATGTTTTAGGATCATTTTGTTGATGTGTCGTTTAGCTGATTTAACCCTTAAGCCGTATTTGAACAGATTATCAACTGATTGTGGGATCTTCAGTGGTTGATGTCCATAATCTAGTGAGCAAGGTGGCTGATGACTGATAATATGGGGAAATAAGTTGCACAGAAAACTGCTGCTAAAATGAAAGCAGACAGTGGGCACTGTCTATTGATGACAACTGTTGAATCTAGGCATAATGATTACTTACATTAATCGAAACTGCTGCGACTGATGCAGATATGGCCAAATATCAGATGATTAATTTGTCGGGGCGAAATATCGGTTTTTTTATCACTAATGTATGCAAATGTGCCTTTAAAGTCAACAGGTAATTAAATTTGACCTTTCATTTTTAATACATATATTCTTTTAAGAAACTTCATGCATGGCTAAATTCTTGTATAAAATGCCCACTTTTTACAATCCAATTAATTTCAGATGGATAAAATCATATCGCACCATATTGTTTTTTACGGGTTCGTTTGGAAATATAAAGCATATCTTATTGGACTGCTATGCTTTTAATGCAAGTAAACAACAATTTTATTTAGTAAGATCTCATAAGGACTTGTTTAATTAAATCCTTCCAGAATTGTTTTAATTTTTATATATAATTAAAAAATTTCAAAACACCTTGTGTATTTTGTTAAATATATAGTATTTTTCTATTTTATTTTGTTCTGATTTATTTAATTTTTTACAACTCAGTTGGAAGAAAATGGACAACACCGCTTTTGCTATGAAAATAGCCTCAGCTGCTGACATGGCTTTAACATTTATACTATTTCTACTTTGGAAATTCATCACATTGTGGAAGAAAATTGTATGTGAACTAGGGCTGGGCAATATGTCAGAATTACCGTATCGATAATCGCCTTTAAAAATATCGCGATATCCGATAATATCGTCTACCTAAACCACCTCCACCACGCCCCGCCTCCACCGAGACAACATTGCCGACATGCACCATAAGCACACACCATGTTCAGTTTGGTCTTAATTATTGCCACAACGTTTGGTTTTACTTTTCTTAGTTTGTGCTTAAACTAACAGAAGACATGAGCTTTGCTGTTATGTTGGTGTTGCTAATAATTTCCACTCTCTTCTTATCAAATTTGTGTTTGAAATGAATTTCGTTTTGTGAGGAGAACTGTTGAGGACAAATAATAGAACCCAATTTTAAGTTCATCATGGTGAAGTTGGACATTCTGGCGGTGATTGTAATAATGATAAATACATGTTGATGTTATATAATAATGTCTTGAATAAAACATGCCTATTTTCCGATGTTTCTCTTTCTTTTTGGCATTATCGCCTGTGTAGACATTTCATGATGGTAAGTTTAATTTCCTTAATTATAGCCTAACAATTGCAGCGTTGTTTTTAAACTTGTAGTCAAGCTATAACGTATTTGATATTTATCATGTATGATTAAAATCATGCAGGGATTAAAAACAAATTCTGAGCAAAAACCCTTTCTGGTAGCCTACTAGTTCGGAGGTCTCTTTTGGCCCGTTTTTAACTAAATAAAGATAACTGGTTTATTTATTTAGAAGCAGGGTCATTTAAATTTCATTTTTGTATTGTAATTTTTATCATTTTTATTTTATTAATCAAAATACAATGCCCACAATATAATATTCAGTGTTGGGCTGCCGAAACTCAGAACGCGTGCGAGGGTCGAGCTTCGAAGCCTATAAAGTCTTCATTCAAATGAATTAAGAATTTATAGTGCTATATCTCAGCTTAGTTAAACATAATTATATTGTATACACGGTTAAAAAAATCTGTAAAAATATTACACGGAAATGTGCGCTGAAGGAATTTGCGTCTTTTAATTATACCTGTCATGCTTGTGGTTTTTCATCATTATACAGTCTGTTTAAATAAATATTCAGAAACGCACGCAGTGCTACTTTTTGCCTTTTTTCTGTTTAACTTTTATTAAACTGCAGATCAAAATAGAAAAGGCCTATACCCTAAATAAGGATAAATTATATTGGAACGCAAATAATCGCATACACAGATGCACGTTCCCATTACTGTAGTCAGCGCCGAACAACAGGCAAATAAAATATCAACAGAGGTTACAAAAGTGATTCAGTCAAGATCAGAGAGGGATTTTAGTTTATTTTGTTCTTTGATTAACATTATAATGACTGGCGGTAGCGGCTGCTGTCAATGCATGGATCCAGTTTACTTTCTCAACTCTTTAAGTTCACTTAAGACATAACCAATTGTATTTATGGGATATTTTGATATAATTCTGTGTGTATTTGTCCATTCGAATGTGTAAGAATGTGAGAAAGAAGTATGCGTATATAAGAGGCGGCTTTTGTGCGTGCGCTTTTTGTGTATGTGTGTGTTCCTCAGCACAGAAAACAGTGCGCGAGTGCAGAAGTGAGTTCTATTTCATCTTCTTGCAGTTGAATCTTTTGAAATCACAATAAATGCGCATACAGAAATCGAGAAGAAGAATCAGAATGTAATTTGATTCCTGACCTTACGCATCTGATCTGATTTCCGAAATTGGAATAGCTTTTCGATTCCCAACCCTCCTACTAAATTATGTCATTCTTGCATGCAAAATGACCCGTATGGTGACTATGGTGCTATGTAAAATATTTTTTGCATGGTTTTTCATTTGTCTTTTTTTTTGTTTTTCCCCGATAATGTCGATAATCGTCTGTTACCTAACTGCTGACATCGACATCGCGATACTTACGAGACGTCGTCGATATACGATAATATCGTCATATCGCCCAGCCCTAATGTGAACATCGTTTCATGTACCAAATCCCAAGGCTGCCTGATTCATATTTTAGTTGTGATCATTTATACTGAAAATGTCAAGAGTTAAAATCCCACAATCAGAGCTTTTATCTTAAATGTATTTTTCGCCCCACCATGTTTTACTTGATTTTTCCAACCTGGCAACTGCATTGCAAAAATGTGCTAATGAGCTGAAAACACTGACAAGCATATTACATGGAGTTTAGCGATCTCCATTGCGATTTTTCTAATCAGATGTATTAAATTACGAAATAATTTAACCATCGTGCAGCTGTACTTCTCCATCATCCCCCATGAAGAACAAGCAAAACAACTCTATTATTATTCAATCAAAGGCTGAGTGTCTTGTGTGGTACTGAGGTGTAGATGGGGTCTTGAAATCGTCTGGAGGCCCCATTTGGTCTTCTGAAGCAGGCTTACTTCCCATGTAGTCTCCAGTATTGGACTGAATTGAACACACTTGCGATTAGCCATGTCAAGCCTCTCACAGCATAAACAATCTTCCAATCAAAGGATGTCCTTTGTAGGATATACAGTTTATAAAGAGTAACCGTTATTTTGCCCTCAGTCTTTCCAGTCTTTGCTCACAGTGATGCAATAGACAGACTTGAGAAATGATTGCAAGATTGCAGTGCACTTCCTCTGCTGCGTCCTGTACAGTGATTGCAGAAATATTGATTATAGCAGTACTAACTATAAATAAAATGTTTATTAAATATGATATATCTTTATACATTAATGATAAATTGTTATTGTACAGTTATTATACCTAAAAATTAATTTTAAATTGACTAAAAATAAAATAAAAATAATTTCCAATTATTTAATAAAACTCTCTCTCTCTCTTTTTTTTTTTACAGCAGATGGAAGTAAAGAGAGAATTTCTGGTTTTGTAATTACTGCCATTGGGCCTCATTAATAAAACACAAGCGGAATGACTTTTTTTTGTAAATAATTTGTAGAACAATAGATTGAGTGCAACAATTTACATGATAATGGTTTATGAACCATTCAGTTGGCTCATGATTCTTGAATGAGATCCAATGTCAGTGTTTGATCTTTAGTTTAGCAGTTCACCACCTTTTCACGTTTGCAGATCTGTGTTGTGATAAAACATTGATGGTGTGGAATATGTCATGTGTGTATATGATATCCAGTCTCTGCAATATGATGCAGGCAAATGTTCTCTAAAAATACAGCTCTCTGCAAGAACAACAGGGATATTGTTCCCTCAGCATCCTTCAGTCTGTCACCAAAAAAAAAAAAAGAACATCAAGAGATTGTATGTGGCCTAGAGAAATATAGCGGCCGTATTGTTTAAAATTATATTCGCTTCTGAAATACATTATTGAGCAATGCATAGATCTTCAGGGCTTAGATCATTTTAATCACAGCTCTTCCTTTATGTCTTTTATGGCGCAGTGAAAAAATGTGCAGAACCATGCAAAAGTCAGTCTCTCTGAAGTTTATTAATAGGGA